CACGTGGATCGCAAACACCAAGTGGATTGGGGCTCGACTTCAAGTTTATCCATGATCGAACGGGTCGGCACAGACGAGCCTATCGTATTCCAGCTCATAAACCAGAGGACATACTTTTTAGAGGAAGATGAACCTTTTTATTCGATCAGGCGAGATGGGCTGGGAATGCACGGGATGACTTTGACCACCATGTATCTGTAGACTCGACGTATAGAGTAAAATGAAGTGAATTGCAATTTTATATAATGCGCTGGATGAATGATGCACGATGAACGACGACGAGCACGACGATGGTAAGACGATGGACGACGGACGACAGACAAGACAAGGTGTAAAAATGCGGTGAGGGCGTGTGGTAGCAGAGCACGACAGGACACGACATGCAACTGAGGTCAGGCGGCTCATAAAAAAAGCATCTACGCAGTAGGGCAGCGTAGGGCCATAACGAAAACTCAGGGCGCAGAGCTCAACGGCCAGAGTTGGTGCATAGGCGTCCATACTCATGCAGGCACAGGCCCGCCCACCAGTGGTTACAGATCGCGGTATGGTCGCTGGCAGCGACTGGACGGGGGCGAGGCATTGCAGAGATACCCTGCGACATCCGCACCGACGTGGGTTTTGTGTGCAAACGACGAGCTGGGCGCCGCCTAGCTGCGGAGCACAGCTGTAGATATCGTCTTGCCCATCGTGTAGGTCTCACTACTTAACCGGCGAAGGAGAGATGAAGATGCGCTGAATCCTTTTCTGTGCCACTTGGGGCGGCGATGCGGATGGACAGAGCATGTGGTGAAAGGTCGGTACCGACGATGGCGGCGATGGGAGTGAAGGCGATGTGGATGCGTTTTCTCGACGAGGGCTGGTAAGAGGTGGTGAAAGCGGGATGCCAAAATAATGGTTATTAAATGAGAAGCACGGTGTAGTCTCGATAGCTAAGTGGTATAGCATGCGATTGCAGTGAGTTATCACCTATCGCAGGGTCCGGTGTTCGAACCACCGTCGGGACTTCAAATACGTTTTTTTTTTGGCTTATTTACCACTCATTATACATTGCGCACTCGTGCTTTGCGCCGACTCTTGAGTCTTTTTGATGCCATAAAAATGACTCCGATCAAGCTTAAGATTTACTTACCTGAGAAAAGATTTGTGCATGGTTTATTACAATATGTTCACGGTGTTCAGAGCATGGAATTAATTCGTTTAGCCTTGATGCCGACGAGTCCAATGGAAGCCAAAGCCTGTCAAATAGCACTTCAAGCTCAAGTACCAACCTGTCTTGCAGTGACTTTGGGCGGTAGACTATCACCGCGCGCATGTTCCATTGTTTATACAGCGCTCCTCGATCGCTCAGAAGTTGGAGTCCGACATATCCTTGGCATTTGAAACTTGAGGACGCCCTCTGTAGCAGATTTGCCGTCGACGGACGTTGGGACGCCATGTAAACGTTAGCCGAGACAGGGAATGAGAAAAATGATAGCTCAACAACAAAAATACATGGCGAAGGCTAGATAGGGGTACGCAGGCACAATGCCCTTCTTCGACTGCGATGGCCCTTATTTCAGTGGGATTTCTGTGTGAGTCGACCCGGACGAGCGATAGATATCCTCGGAGGAACAGACCTCAGCAAGGTCGTAATAATGAAGGTGGCAGCTTGAGAGATGACTGTTTAACGTTTGGCGTCCGTGCTGATGCGAGTCATAAATATTCAAGCCCAGTGAGAATGCCGGCTGCTGAGATTGGTCGAAATGGGCTGAGATATGTTCTCGCTGATTGCATGTGACCAGATCGGTTGAAATCAGTGCCAAGAGCTTATAATTCTCGAAGTCTATTTTTGTATTGTTGAACTTCGTTTAATTGTCACCACTGGTACTGTATATTGTGCTTGGTTTCTGCAGAATTGCATCCCACATAAACCGATATCAGCACACCGTTGTTATTTAAAAGCCCCAGCCTCGACTCAGAGTAGCGGTACACGTCATCGTCTGTACACGCGCAACCGCCCACGTGATTGTTGGGTGATCTTCAAATCGCCGCCTCCATCAACTTCACTTTTATCAACATTCGCGTCTCGTTCTACCTCAGCTTTTTGCCTATGTCTTGGATTCTCCAGCATATCTGATCCTGCTCTTGCTCACTCGATAATGCCACCAATTCGCACCGGGGAATGGACCTGCAATTGTGAGCGGTACTGCCGTGGTACGAAAACACCAGTCTCCCGAGCAACATACTACAACCATGCCCCATATCGCCCCCAGCTTGGCAGTTCTTTGGCGCCTATCTTGAGAGATGTACCAGCCACCGGCAACGTGGATGTATCAAATCATCCACAAATAGCGGTATGTATCTCCCATTAGTGGTGTTCACATAAAGTTTGTTAATCGCACCTTCTCTTAGCCCGTAAATTTCCTGCAAACATCTTCTGGCACCTCCAGTGCGATAGAAATTAGACCGCCACCCCATTCTACTACTCCGCCAGCCCCAAACATGCTTGAAACTCAGAATACTGGTAGCAGTTTTACCTTCTACACTCGTGGCCGCTTCTGACATGAAACTTCACCCAGAGCCGTCTACGTCATGTCTGCAAGATGAACCACCACAAACGGAACTCGACGAGAATTACGAACAATTCAATGGTATGTGAGCATTTCTGTATCTAGGGCCTACGTATATTGACGCCTGGAACCTGAAGACAATGCCCAACCCATCGACCTCGATCTCCCACAAGTCCCACAGCCCTTGGCTCAAGACCTCCTGCATCGAGAGGCTGTACTTGGGCAGGAGCTTGCAGGAATTGATTTTGTGCCATGTACGGAGGAACTGAAGATGGCATTGGCGTTTGCCAGAGCTTTGGAGGAGGCGGATCTGGAGAATGGTGATCTGACGACTGCGCAGCTGAGCCGCCTACAGAATCCCATTAAAGAAGTTGTAGAAATCAATGACCATGATACTTTGCTTTCTCTCAAGCTGTTTCTGTCTACCTCCAACTCATCTGAACATGTCTATAAAAGTGTACGCGAAGATCTCAACGAGTCAAATCCCGACCAAGACATCCTTTCTCTAGAAGCTGTAAAGAAGAAAATCGAATCAATCACTGGTGTTTCTCCGCTAGACCACCATATGTGCCCGGATTCCTGCATCGCCTACACAGGCCCTTTCAAAGATCTCAAACAATGTCCTTATTGCCGCAAGGATCGCTACGACCCTCTCCAACGGCATGAAATTCCACTTCAACATTTCTACACCATTCCACTGGGCCCACAGCTACAGGCGCTTTGGCGGACAGCAGAAGGGGCCCATAACATGAAACACAGAGCGCGTTCCACCAAAAGAATTTTCGAAGAACTTGAGTTAACCGGGGGAGAAGTTGATGTGTTCGAAGACATTTACCATGGCCAGGAGTACCTTCAGGCTGTTGAGCAGGGTCTCATATCCACAGACGACATGCTTCTTATGTTTTCGATGGACGGTGCCCAGCTCTATCAAGATAAGCAGTCCGACTGTTGGATTTATTTATGGGTCATCTATGACCTTCCTCCCCATCTACGCTACAAGAAAAAGCATGTCCTTCCTGGTGGATTTATTCCTGGCCCCAACAACCCTAAAAATACCGATTCTTTCTTGTTCCCTGGCTTTCATCACGTTGCTGCATTGCAAAAAGAAGGATTGAAACTCTGGGACGCAGAAATTGCCCGCGAGTTTCTTTCTTATCTGTTTATGTATCTTGCTGCTGCAGACGGTCCCGGCAGTGTTCATTTTACTGGCCTTGTCGGGCATCATGGTGCTTTTCCTTGCCGCCTATACTGCTCTCTCAAAGGACGCCATAAACCAGGAACCCCTCATTACTATCCTGCATTGCAAAAGCCAAACAATTATACGGTACAAAATTGTGATCACCCTGATGTGGATCCAGCAAGCATTCTAGGTGGTTCGGCACCCGAATACTGCGTGAACTTGCAATATCTCCTTCGCTCGCGCAATCCTACTTAGTGTTGTCCGGGGCTCGGCTTCCAAGCCCTAAGCCGTCGGTAGCCGGCCCTCCTAAGCCAGGCCGAGCCGAGCCTATGGCACAGCTTTTAACGGCCTGGGGCTCGGGCTCGCGTTTCCAAAGCCCTTGGCTTTGGCTCAGGCCGCGGCTTTTGGTGGCTGAAATGGGCCAAATAATTAGCAAATAATACTACAAACAAATATATCAACATGAACTTTTTTTTCCTGCAAAGCTCTGGCCTCATCGCGAACAAACCTTTAGCGCTTCAGCACACAATGGCGGACTCGCACGGCTCTGACACCGTGACGCGGGCTACTGGAACATCCGGCCGCCCGGTGAGAACGATCATTCCCTCGTCAAGATTGACAGATGGGAACAATCAAGAACTTCCGATTACGTCGTCTCACCGCCAGCTTATCGCCGCCGCTCAGGCCGCAAAGAACTCTGACAGCTCTCTGTGACGGCTGGCCCTTCATCCAGTCACATGTTGCAGGGACCTAGGGTCCGTACCGGATGGTAACGGGTCACCCTATCCCAGGGATCCGGCACAGGGGTGTCCGGGGCATCCCTTGAAGACTCTAAGTCATGGCCTAAGCACGGGCTGGTGGTGTAATGGTTAGCACGCCGCGCCTTGGAACCTTGGAGTGCGAGGTCCTGAGTTCAATCCCAGGCTGGTCCATGTTTTCGAGTATTTCCCAGCTAGGCGTCACATTGGTGGACCTGGTCAAGATATTCTCGGAGCACATCGATTCGGGGTGTTCGGGGCTTGGGCCAAACTGTTCCGCGGAATAGAGCGCGCTAGGGGCTTTAGAAGTGTATCTAGCTTTCCCGCGGCAGGAGTAACCCTTGCAGACCATGGCTTAGAGTGGGGGGCTCTGTGACGGCTGGCCCTTCATCCAGTCACATGTTGCAGGGACCTAGGGTCCGTACCGGATGGTAACGGGTCACCCTATCCCAGGGATCCGGCACAGGGGTGTCCGGGGCATCCCTTGAAGACTCTAAGTCATGGCCTAAGCACGGGCTGGTGGTGTAATGGTTAGCACGCCGCGCCTTGGAACCTTGGAGTGCGAGGTCCTGAGTTCAATCCCAGGCTGGTCCATGTTTTCGAGTATTTCCCAGCTAGGCGTCACACTCTCACAGAGTTACGAGCGTCGCCTCAACTTCCATCCCAACCACCGCCACCACCCCGCTCACTTCAGTACCGCCAACCTCGACTTCTGAATCTGCGTCCCACTCTTCGCAGAGCCCACCAGCGAACTTAACCACCGCGGCCGTTGTTACTCGGACTCCAACCGAGGCACCCTCCAGCAACTCAACATCGAAACGCGCAACTGTCGAAGACGTCGATGATGAAGAAGATACGCCGGCACCACGGCGCAAGCGCGTGAGGACAGCTCAAGGGGTGGCTCAAGGATCAGGTAAGTTCCATTCGTGCTTGATCATAGTTTTGACTCATTAAAAATTCAATTGTAAAGATCATGATGTCGTCGACGCCAATGGCATGCACCGTGATGTGCATGTCACCGAAATCTTCGACGATGACGACGATACAAGTCCAGAAACGCTCAACAAAAAGGCTCCCACTGCCGATGTTGACCACTTTTTCGAGAAGGTGCCCCTAGTTGAAGGAGAAAAAAAAGGACGTCGACGATGTTTGAGTTGCAAGTAAGCTCGATTTTGTTGCATATATTTTAATTTTATGTTCTAACAAAAACGATCTCAACAGGCATGGTAAAGGCTGCCCAAAGCAAGACTCCGTCCTTGTTGACGACTGTACAACTCTTCGCCGCCACATGCAATCGAAGCATAAGGTTTTATTAATTTTCTTTTTCTTATCTTCCATGTTCTAATCCATTGATTAGGGTGTTTACCACACATGGTGCAAGGCGCGCCAGTTCCAGTCAATGCTTCCTGACGACACCAAGGCGCGCCGGGCAGCCACTCTCGAAGCCATTCGTCACCAAACACAAGTCGACGGGCACTTCAAGGTCGCAGCACCCGAGGACAAACCAGAGCCGTATAGCGACCACCTTTTCAAAGAGGCGGCTATTCAGTGGCTTATCGAAACAGACCAGGTAAGTGATTTTATTTCATTTGCCGGAATTATATTTCTCATCGATCCATTTTCTCATCGATCCGTAGCCCCTTCGCGCGTTTGAGCACGAGGCATTCAAGAACATGATTGCGATTGCGGCGCGAGCGACAAAAGGAGTGAAAATACCTCCACGAACAGCAACGCGCGACTTCATCATCAAGAAGTTTAAGGAGCAGATGCAGGCGCTGTCAGCCCGCCTCAACGTGAGTTCATTTTCTCTTTCTGCTTTATATGACTAACCTCTATGTGGTTCCGTAGAGCAGCGCCGTCACCGGTGAAATCAGTCTCACCTGCGACGCATGGTCTGCGTCAAACGGTGATAGTTATTTCACAGTGACGGGCCACTGGATCGAAGAAACTGCACCCCAACAGTGGACGCAACAACACGCACTCCTTGGATTTACTCAAATGAACACCGCGCACAATGGGGTTCGTCTTGGGCAAGCGCTATTCAAGATTTGTAGCCGTCTCAAGATTATCCATAAGGTGAGATTATCGATTAGGTGAACTTCTATACTAACTTTCGTGAATGATTAGATTGGTCACATTACTTGCGACAATGCCACCAACAACGACACCATGCTGGAAGAATTCGCGCGATGTTACGAAGAAGTCAATGACGAAGTCTTCGATATCGACGAGCGGCAAGTTCGGTAAGTATTTTAATTCAGTGTTCATTGTTAACTTGAATGTAATATATATCTTAGATGCTGGGCGCATATTGTCAACCTTGCGACGCAAGCACTCATCTCAGCACGTAGCAAAGCAAAATACTATAGCCCACATGACGACGTCTCGGATGAGAGTCTCCCTAATGCAAATACGACCGCGGTAGAGA